ATCTAGGTGTTAAAAGGGAAGTTCTTTTGAGCATCCCAAACTCTGCTGTTCTAGACATTAAAATGGTTTGATAGGTTCTTATCAGATAAGGTGGTGAGGGTTTTGGGTTTTGGGTTTTGTTCCTTTTAAGTGGCAGAGGTTACATATACTCAGAAGGCTTGACTATTTTACATAAAGTCCGTTTAACATTACAGCATGAGGTAATTTGTGCTATAGCAAAAACAGGACTTCAAATGGAGCTCCGTTTTCTTCCTGCTACATGTGCTCCAGGCAGAAATGACAGTTCCCAACATCAATCACGCAATATATTGCATGTGCTTTTTCAGACACCGAAATTAGTCTCTGTGTCAGAAAAATTTATTGGTGAACTGGCCTGAAGGGGATAATTCAGATGACCATTTGCATTGTCATTCCATGGAATTCAGCAAAATAGCCCTGGTGTAAACTTGCTATGTGCTCTCATATTACATGCTTTCCAGGACATCATGGCCACAATCCAATTGAATATTTATGCCAGTATAAGTCCAGTAGCATTACTTTCAGCTGTGAATTGCCACTAGTTAAGAAGCCAAAATATATTTCTTGTTGCATGCCAAGTCATGTGACTGGTGTACAATAAGAAATGCAGGCATCAGATTCTTAATTAGCACCAGGTTGGATTGGAGCTCAGGTCTGTGTATGCTCACTGCAAAATGGGTAAGCCTGGGGTACAGAAGGATTATCTTGGATAAATCTTCTGTAAACTCTAGCTCTGGGCAGTGTTGGAAGAGTCTGCCATGTTAGTCTGTGCAAGTATATTAGGCAAAATCCCAAGAAACAAAACAAAACAAAAGACAAAACACGTGCCACCTTAAAGACTATTATATTTTAAAGTAAGCTTTTGTTGACATGTTCACTTTGTCAGACATGGAGAGACAGAATTGTATTCTTTTTTTAGTCTTTAGGATGCCATATGTTTTGGCTTTGTTTTGTTTTGCTTCTGTGGATTTTGCCTGATAACTCTGGGTAATCTGTCATGGTAAGTATCCTGGTATTTCATTGTTGGGGGGAGGGTGTTGTGTATTGTGCTCAGGTGAGATGTTCAGTCTTCTGGCACTGAAGTGTGGGGGACATTCCTTGATATTTGGTTTGTTCTCCTCACTCAAAAGGTCTTTCTGGTAAAACTTCCTCAAATCCTTTATCCTTCTAACCCCAAGTTCTCAAGTCCCCAAATTCCATCCCATGCCATTGCTGCTAATCTACCAAAACTGATGAGCAACTTTTTAGGGGCTACATTATAAAGGAACAGGTAACTATGTTCTGCTGGACAAATTTGTACTCACACAATAGTGGAGTTTAAAAATAAACAACAGTTCATATTAACATAAACTGCAGAACACTGTGAAATGGTTTTTTCATTGCATAAGATGTACATTTGCAATACTATGTTAGTGAGCAGTTGTAGCACAGACTAAAACGCAGCTGTCTATCATCTAAATGCCCTTGCATTTTATTTATGCGATGCAAGATTTTTAAAAAAATAATAATAATGTAAAACGTAGTAATTTTTTTAGCAAAGTGTAATTTGGATATAATATTGAGTTGTCAAACTGAATAAGCCTCAGATATAACCACTGAATTTATGAAAGCTGAAAGGCATTTATAGGATAAGTACACTTCACTCAAGCATGTATTGTTTCTACTGTGTAAGAAATGTACATTAAAAAACATGAATGAAATGAGATTTTTTGTCTTATTGAAGATGCCATACTTTAGTTATTTAAAATTCTCTGGCTTCAGAATCCTTTGGATAAAGCATCCATCAAAGAAAAATAAGGGAGAGAAAGAACAGTTTTATCAGTCCTGCATTATTGGTATATTGCTTTGTAGCTCTATGAAAGACACTCAGTATTTCCAAAAGGTCCTAGACAATGACTCAGTGCTTGCTAATGCTGGAAAAAGATTTAGGAAAGTATAAACTATCAGGAGGAAGAAAACCTGTTGTCATGTGTAGACACTGTTGACTGTCTTTGCTCCTGAGCCTCAAAAAGTTTTTTTCTTTTCTTAGTCCAATTCCCCAAATCCCTCAGCCAGCGTGACAAAAAAAAATATAGTTACTCTAACAGGACCTGCTTTTTTCTGGATTGGTGGACTGTGCTTCTATTTCCTTGGATCCAGAGAAGGTCTTCCTGGCACAATGTTTATGGTCTATCCAATCCCAGATGAAGATGTTTACCCAAACCCATGAAAAACCATATATATAGTAGCCTGGACATGTCAGCTTACAACATGTCTTTCGATTCCATTTTAATTTTAATGGTTTTTTATTTATTTTTATTTTGCATTGCATTTTAACTTGGAATTTGTTTTGTGAGATATCCACATAACATGTGCTATTGAGCAACTATATAGATGTAGGAAATAAAATTAAAAGAATCCAAAATAGTTCTTTGGTTATTGGATTCAATTATTTTTCCACACATATTACTGCAGATTCCCAGTACGATTTGGGAAGTAACTGTAGTAAATGTGAGAGACATGATAATTATTTTATCTTAAATATTAGGTATAATTCTCTTACTTCTTCAAACAATATGCTGCACAGCAGCAATACTGACATTCCCTTTAAGCTCCAGCAACAGCAATGCTGACATTCTCTTTAAGCTCCAGGGAGGCAGCACAAGAACCTCTTTAACAGCTTCCAGTAAATTGTATGGTTATTATCACACTAAACAAGGAACCTGCTGCTAGGAAAGCTTTGGAGTTTCGGGGCACCAGTGAAGCAAACCTTCTCATCCTGTGGCAACTTTGGTACAGTGGAGGGGGCATTACTTGTGCATTTATCTCAATTGCCTTGGGAGAGATCCACAGAGATATTGTTCCTGTCTTACCAAAGCTAACTCTGACCCCCCCCCCCAAAGCACTTGAGTGTTTGGACATTGCTTTATCAGGGATCCAAGGTCCTGTATATAGAACAGAAATAGAACAATTGGAGCAGTGTGTTTATAAGAATCACTTGTATTAAAACTATATTATAGGAGGTAGTTTCAATATTGCATTTACAATATTGTATTTGCATCCTTATATGGAATTCTGGGCTCAAACTGATAAGAGGGGAACCACAAGCTTCCATGGAAGATCCACAACAAATGAGAAGCACTACTACAGTTGAGGCGCATGCTTTTGCTGTGTTCAGTTGACCCGTGTACCACATCATTTGTGGTTTCAATGCCTATTATGTACCACTGTTTGACTGCCTTGAGAACATCCAATTTCAATCATCATAAGGGTGTATATGTGCAGTGGCCAAATAAGCAGCCTGTTTATGAGGAGTTGGTTTATTTAAGGGTTTGTACTAGACAGAGACATATTTTGAAGGGGGAAAAGACATGGCAGAAATTTTCTACAGGAAATATGTTGAAAGTGTGTGTTTTCTTTTCTTTCTGTCTTTCTCAAAGCTTACTATTTTTGTGTTGGTTCACTGCTATTTTCACCTCATTCAGCAACAATTTTGGCTCTCTTGTGTGTGGTGGAATCTAGTCCTCCACCAGCCAATTAGATGTGGCTATGTTATGACACAACTGTGATGAACAAAAGTTAATTCGGAGTGCAAGCCATGCTTTCTGAATTGCCCTTATTCATAATGAGCTTCCTTTGGTCCCACCAATATCATTAGATAACCAAATCTGATTGGCTACTTAAGAACTGTAGGTTCTCCATTCGTTTGCAGCAGCCCTCCCACCTTAAGATGGAGATGGAAATATTGCCAGGACTGAATGAGTAACGTCAGCTCTAAGGCATAATATTGTCATGAGCATAGAGATTTTTATTTCAGGTAGGCTGTAATACAGTTGTTTTACAAGTTATATATAGTTGTGTTTCTTCTTTGTCAAGATATTTTTAAAAACATGGTATGTTTTAGAGTCTAGAGTTAGTTAGGCATCCTTCAGTCTCGAAAGACTATGGTGTCGTGCTCTGTATGGAGGACTTGGAACAGCGTCTAGTGTGGCTGAAGAGGCCAATTCGAGAGTGGCAATCTCTTCCACACTGAAGACAAATCCAATCTGTCCCCTGTCCAGCTCCCTGATTTTGCTGCTTTTGTGACTGCCTCTTTGCCTCGACCTGCTGGACAAGGGTCTCTTCAAATTGGGAGAGGCCGTTAGCAACAGGGAAGATAACACTCTTTATCCACTCCAATGTGGATAAAAAAACATGTAGTACATGTGCTTCATTTATGCGCCTACCCTGCCACTAAGTCTATCCTTGTATTCACACAGAAGTAACATTTAAATGGCATATTTGCACGAGGTGTGCAGTGCACAGTGGCACAATCTGTAATCTCAGCATTCTTTAATAAAGATTGCACAGACTTTCCACTATCATCTCTGTCTGTCCTCTTGGCCCATATAACCCCTAATTCCATCTACTTTCAGAGTTATAGCTAATTCCTATAAGTAGAAACAAGGAAGTTACCTTTTATGGGTGGTCTGTCTAGCACAGGACTCTCCGTACTTTGACTGCCAGTAGCTCTACGGAGTTTTGGATGTGAATATTTCCTAGCCTTGCCTAGAACTCAGTGCAAAATGCTTAACTATTCACCATCTTCCCCAGGATCCCTGACTGCTTTCTCTTTACTTACAGCACAAAGAAACAAGGGTTATTTATAACAATTTATATTAACTATGTGTTATTTGTAAAAAGTTGCTTCTAAGCTCCAGAAATATCTACTTTCCATGGGTAATAATGTCAGAGATGCTACACAATATGCTACCATAACTGACAGAGATAACTGCACAATGAAAATATATTCTTAGGCGCAGATCATTCTGCATTTTCCTGCAATTTCTCACTCCAAATCTACTTGTTAGTGCCATGGAATATGTCTAGAATTCAGCATTGGTGTTGAGCACTATATTTAGACTATCTTATAGAGTTGGCAATTGACAAGAATACTCTTTCATTACTTTTATAAATCTTGGTATCCTGTGCTGTGTTTACTAAGAGGCTTGTTTTTTTTCCAGAGCTACCATATGGCTGGGAGAAAATTGATGATCCCATTTATGGCACTTATTATGTTGAGTAAGTTTCCAAATTCATTATTAATTGACTATTAATCTTGCATAAACTGTTGTTAATGACCCATGCAATGCTTCACATTGAGAAGGTGTACACCCTACTCCCCCCCCCCAAAAAATACCTTGGATGTTGCAAAGAAATAGAAGACTCATCAAAAAATATCTGCACCTCTTCAAGCCAGATCCAGAGTAACTGTGATTCTCAGGAGAATGAGAGACATGCTCGATGCTTTTTCCATATCCTATCATGTAAAATAGATATTAGCTGTTTTCTGTCTCTGGACAACAGCTTTTCATTCTCCTGAACCAATTAGTGCTAACAATTGTTATTCAAAACAATTGTTATTCAAAATACATGAATTGTAAACAGTATTTCCAAAGTTAAATAAACATTGCAAAAATTATCTGTGGATCTTAAAATTCCAGTGCTGTTCATCTCCCAGTAACCCCTTACAACTCAACTACCTAGACTGAGGAGAGCATGATCTTAAGAGGGGAGTGCCTCTCCCTGAAATGGTTCGGGAATGCCTTCATTCAGACAATGAAATGCCTGTGGCCTAGCCTCTCTGTAACATCAGAGTAGCTGAACAACTAACTGACAATAGATGATACTGGTGCCCATCAAGACCATAGAATATTGAAGAAATGCCTTCTCCCACATGAATCTGCACACTCATTCTGAGGCCATGTTCTGTATCTGCCACCATAGTAGGAACAGAGGAATATATTCTTGATTATTTCATTCACGCTATGGAACTCTTCCATATGTGTAGCTGGTTGGTTCCCTCCTCAGGTTGCTGAAAGCTGAGTCAACCTTGAGCCACCTGAACCAGTTGGGATTGAGCTCAGGTTGTGAGCAGAGTCTTCTCTTTACTACTGCAGTTTAATCACTGCACCAAGTCTTCTGTGTAGAGTCTTCTGCTTACTTACTTCTGCGTAGACATGGATAGGATTGTGCAGTGAGCCACTGTAAGGTATCATGAAAAGAACTTGTTTTTTGCCAAATATTTGATCTGATTTAAATTTTTGTTCTGTATTGTTTCATTATGTTCTCTGTATCAAACCCTATGCTTTTAATGTTTTATAATACCATATACAGTCAACCCTCGACTTACGAATGGCCCTAGTTACAAACACTTCGACTTACGAACCGCTCTGATAGGAAAATAGGGACTCGACTTGCTAACTTGGACTCGAGTTACAAATGGAAAAAAGTGCGGGAAAGGCAGGGAAAGCATGATATTTGAGCTTTCAGTTAGCAAAGAGGCTAATTGTTTGCTTCCTCGCTCATCCAAGTGGTTAGAGAGTGGGAAAAGAGACCTGGGACTGCCTGGGAGTGCCTGGTATTGTCATTTTTAAATGTAAAATTTAGTTTAAAAGGTGCTTTGTTTGGGTTAAACAATGCTCGGGTAAAAGGGAGCTCGGTTTGAGTTAAAACCTGCTTAGGTAAAAACATGCTTGGTTGCTTTAAAAGCTGTTTTGATTTAAAAGATGCTTGGTTGAAAAGGTGCCTGTTTTGGTGTAAAAGGTGCTTGATTTAAAAAGTGTTTGTTTTTTTTTTAAACAGTGTTCATTCGTTCCCTCCATGGTTTCCTGCCTTTTTTTTTTTTAACCTACCCCTTTTTAAGTTAAAAAGAAAAAGAAAAAAATTCTGCCCCTAGTGGTAGAAATTGAGTATCTGGCTTTGCATTAGTTCCCATAGGAACTAATGCTTCGACTTACAAACCACCCCTCAACCTAAGAACCAAAAATAGCCGGAACGGATTAATTGGTTTTCAGTGCATTCCTATGGGAAATGCTGATTTGAGTTACAAACTTTTCAACTTACGAACGTCCTTCCGGAACGGATTAAGTTCATAAGTCGAGGGTTGACTATATTTAAATACTCAATTTTTTTAATCTATCATTGAGAGCAATCTGTGAATGGAAAAGTGTGGTGCATTTTTTTCTAAATAAACATCACTGAACAGAGTGTCCTTTTTGAAGCCTTTAATGCTAAGAACATTTCACGTCTTGTAATTATGCTGTACCATATTTTCTCAGTTCTTAGACCAGATAACTATTGGGAACTTTTCCCATTAAGGGCACCTTAGGTATTGCAAAAATCAGATGTTTCTTTGAAGGCATAATGTTTTATCCCTGATATGAAGATAGGAATTACTCAGTTGCTGGTTCCAGGAAAGTATAACTTGTTTGTCATTGCCAGCATATCCATTTCTACTTTTAGAAAGCTGCCACTGGGCAGAGAGGAACAGAAAAGGAGACATTCCATAACTTCATAAATGGAAGGAGGGAGAGAAGTGGAGGGGGATACGTTAGTACATCTCTAAGCGAGAGTAATCTCTCTGGGACTTAAACATTCTTTGTGTTCAGCAGGGACCACTGAAATTCTGAAATAGCATTCTATACAGGTCTGGTCCCCAATGAAAAAGCCTCCTTGAAACTATTTATAGATTCAACCAAATGTTACACACACAAAAACAAAGACAAAAGTACTCTGCTTTATGAAGAGATAAATATTGGCTGAAGTCCCGTGTTTAACATAGTATTTCATAACTAAAGTAGGCCCATTGAATCAATGGAACATTTGGAAGAGTTGACTCACCAAGTCCCTACTGACTTAAGTGGACCTACTTTAGTTGCAACTTACTGCACTAAGCAACACAATTTGATTCATTATATTTACATTTCTCATAGCAATCAGATATATTTTGACTCCACAAAGATACATTACGAACATTAAAAATAGGAATTCTCTGTCCTCCCAAGACCTGTCTTCATTTTTGACAGAAACCTCTTTATCTCTTTTCACATGATGCTGCCAATCAGTCTGGCCTCTCCTCCTCCACTTTCTCTTCAGGTTGCCCCCTTTACTCCAGATTCTTGTCTACCCTGTCACATTCCAGATTTAGTAACATGAAAGGACTAAGAATAAATTGTCTTGCATGTGATTTTTCTGAGACTTACGCTTCATGGATCACAGGGCATGGTTTGAAGGCCTCTTATGTACATGTTAGAGAAATCTTACTAAGGGGCTACATTGGAGAGCTGAATCAGAAGGATTCAGCTGTGCTGTGATTTGATTCAAAGCCTGCATTTTGTTTCAAAATACAAACAATGGACACACAAGGGCTGCAGATAGATTTGTAAGTTCCCTATTCATATTCATTTGACCTGCAGTCTCGCCTACCACAACCCTTATTTCCTCCCTTCCTCTGGCCCCACCTCTCCTTTCCTTTTAAGGTTAGCTGTGAAACTCCTTGATTACAGCAGTGATCCAAATAGTGTTTATTTCACCCTGCTTTTTTTATGTATTGTATTTATGCAGTGCCTCATTGCTTATACAGCAGAGACCAACACAGTATAATTTCTATTTAATTTAATGCTATTTAATTCCTATTTCTGCACCACTCTTTGACACTTTTTGGCAACCTCTTACTGCAAAACATACACAGCAAAGCTCAACGTTAGCACCTTTTCAAAGTTTAGCAGTCCTAGAATATATGAATAATGTGGAAACATGTGAAATCCTAAATGAAATAATACTTTTTTTCTTGAGCAAATTCAAAATACTTTTCTCTGGACAATGATCCTATTGTGATTTTGTGCTGCAATCCAAACTGAGGGACCTGTCCTGCTTCTTAACAGTAGTATAAAACACCTAAAGAAATGTTTTTGAAGAACTCACTTTAGAAGTATGGTTTTCCTTAGAATTCAAGCACATACGATTTTTTAAAAGAAATAAAAATATTTGAGGACAAGAGGCAGGGGGAGAGAATGAGGATGGGTACCTGCTCTCACTACCCTGAAAACCATGTCCTAAGTCAGTGGCTCTCAACCTTTTTTGAGTCACAACCTGCTTTTATAATAGTCAAGTAACCTGCAATCCCTCTGCCACATCTGCATAAAAAGGCATTTTTAATAAGGCAAAGTCACTCCTTCTCAGAAAGTAGAGGCTTCTTTCTCCCCCAAAGGGACTGTTTCTCATATGTACATATAGATGCTAACTTTAATATCCCACTCCAAAAGTGGGAAATAATTTCAAAAGAAGAAATTATTTTAAAAGGGCTAAAACACATACAAAGGAATGTGATGCTGCTGCGGGTTAAACCGCAAAAGCCTCTGTGCTGCAAGGTCAGAAGAGCAGCAGTCGTAAGATCGAATCCACGTGACGGAGTGAGCTCCCGTCGCTTGTCCCATCTCCTGCCAACTTAGCAGTTTGAAAGCATGTAAAAATGCAAGTAGATAAATAGGTACCACCACGGCGGAAAGGTAATGCTGTTCCGTGTCTAGTCAAGCTGGCTACGTGACCACAGAAACTGTCTACGGACAAACGCTGGCTCTATGGCTTAGAAACGGAGATGAGTACCGCGCCCTAGAGTTGGACATGACTGGACTAAATGTCAAGGGGAACCTTTACCTTACAACACATATAAGGTAACCTGTGAAACCCACCGCCAACCCCATAGAAAACCCCACTGGGGATCCTGACCCCCAGGTTGGGTAACACTGTCCTAAGTGTTTACCTCAAATGGAAACACCGCCTGATGACACAGCCCTGCCTGTCTTCCTAGGAATGTCTTCAGTGGAAACGAGACAATTGAATCCGGCCCCCTGGAGACAGAGGAGAAAAGCCAGTTTGGCAGGAAATAGGCTGGAAGTTATCGGATCTGCCTTGAATGTCTTTATATGTGGAGCAAATCCTGCCATATTTGACCATGTACAGTGAGGTCTTGACTTAAGAACGGCTTGAGTTAAGAACATTTTGCATT